AGTGGTTTCCGCCTCCAAGATTACAATGACGCTGAGCTCCAAGGCCGGTCTTCTTGGCACCTTCGAGGGTATACGAATCTTTGACGCCCGGGTTCCACTCAGCGATGGATCCAATGTCACCAGCCAAACGATCCCAGACTTCGGACACGGGAGCATTGACAGTGTTTTCGACTTGAAAGGTACCCATGGTTGAGTTGATGAAGGTTTTTCTGATTTGATGTGGATTGCTTTTGATTTGGCTGCACTCAATTTTGTGAGAGCGCCATGCTAGCATGCCCAGTGCGAAAGACCTGTCATGTCAAACAAGAGCTGCCGATTTCCTTTGAGGCGGGTTCTTCTTGGCTTGCTTGCTGGCTAGCTAGAGCATCGAGGAAGCAATGGTAGAGAGCAATGATGAAGGCCGGGATCCAACCCACCAGCCACATCCAGCGCAAAAAAGCCTGGGCCCATCATTTGCGCGAATTCTCAGGATTGCCTGGAGTCGTGAATCCCCAGCCTTAAAAAAGACAGCCCGCAAACGCTAAACGACAAGTACCGGTACCCTGATTGGCAGCGTACTAGCTAGTACGATACAGTCGTACTAGCTACCTGGTAGGATTGAAGCCAAGACTCCAAGCCAGCAGGGCATAATGTCTGCTGGAGTGACCAGTCTGGCCCGCCACCCTGTATGTGGCTGAAGGAGCCAGCAATCAACCCAAAGCAGCCCACTGTTTTGGTTTCCTGATTGCTGGATGCCACCAACATGCTTTTGGACCATGGAATTTTGCTTTTTGCCGTCCATGGTCCCTTTCTCTTATGGTGCCTTCTGCCTAGTGTCCTGCATAGTCAGGCGCTGGTGTAGGAGTTTCACCGGACCCTGTGTGTCTTCGACCACAGGTGATCCCGTCCTTCTTGGACCCATAGGCGCCGTTTGATCGCCTCCCCACTCCTCTTGTCGATTGCTCTTAAGAGCCGCAAGGACCGATCACGGTCGTAAGGAACATGCCCCTTGGGCTTTACTATTATTTAGTTCTCCTAGCAGTAGCTGTTGGGGATTCGCGATTAGGGATTCAACCCCTGTACCTCTGTACTAGAATTTCACAGTAGAAATACAGAGCCCACCCACTTTTTCAGTAGTATCTCAATAGCAAGTAAACTAGAAGAGAGCTTAGAGCAACTAACATACTACTGAAAAAGGCTGCTATCGAATAGCAGTGGTCTACTATCGACGTCGAAGCGAAGAAGCGAAGAGGAGCCTATCGAATCAACGGTAGCAAGAAGATCGAGCGAGTATCGGCCGACGCCGAAGCCGAACGCCGATCGCGACGACGCGAGGAGAAGAGTGCCAACGTCAACGAGACCGTCGAACCGTTGCAAGAACGACCGATAGAGACCAAGCCTGTCGAAGGATCGACAGCAACAAGAGAAGACTGTTGTTCGACGTTCGAACGACAACAACAGAGAGAAGCCCTTCACGACTGAAGGCAACGCGACGACGCAGCGAGCGACGACGCAACAAGTGAAGGATCCGAGGACGGATCAAGACTGCAGCCGACGACGACGCGAGTATCGGTCGACGACGACAACAGCAAGAGCCGACAGCATCCAGCCGGAACTGTCAGAGCCAACAACAAAGCGCGAAAGCCATAGTGCCAGCGCAGGGGCCAAAGGAAAGGCACCCAACAAGGAATCAACAATACAAAGAAA